CGGTGGGCATGGTGGGCACCACGGTGGGCATAGCGGGCACGGTGGGCACCAAGGTGGGCACGGTGGGCATGGTGGGCACAGTGGGCACCGCGGTGAGCACGGTGGACACGGTGGGCACCATGGTGGGCATGGTGGGCACCATGGTGGGCATAGTGGGCACGGTGGGCACCAAGGTGGGCACGGTGGGCATGGTGGGCACAGTGGGCACCGCGGTGGGCATGGTGGGCACCAAGGTGGGCATGGTGGGCACAGCGGGCACCGCGGTGAGCACGGTGGACACGGTGGTCATCACGGCAGGCATGGTGGGCACAGTGGGCATGGTGGGCACAGTGGGCACCACGGTGGGCACCGCGGTGGGCACGGCGGGCCCCGCTCACGCCGCGCCGCCGGCCGCCCCGCAGAGCAGATGGGCCGCGTGCTGCAGCGCACGGCCATCTCCACCAACATCAAGGAGCGCCTGGACTTCTCGTGCGCGCTCTTCGGGCCCGACGGCGGCCTCGTGTCCAACGCGCCGCACATCCCCGTGCACCTGGGCGCCATGCAGGAGACCGTGCAGTTCCAGGTGGCACCCCGGGGCGCCCGCGCGCGCGCCCGCCCGCGCGCCCGCCGCTCACCCAGCGCGGCGCCCCCGCAGATCCGCGAGCTGGGCGAGGAGCTGCGCGAGGGCGACGTGATCCTGAGCAACCACCCGTGCGCGGGCGGCAGCCACCTGCCCGACCTCACCGTCATCACGCCGGTGAGCGCCGCGGCGGCGGGCGCGCGGGGTGCCCATGTGGCAGCCGGCACCGGTACCGGGGTGTCGAGCGCGGTGATGGGCACACGGGTCTCTATCTGGTGCCATGCTTACCGGGGTACCGGGGTGTCGAGCGCGGTGATGGGCACACGGGTCCCGGTACTGCTCTCAGTGCCTGGCACCAACACCGGGGTGTCGAGCGTGGTGACGGGCACACGGGTCCCGGTACTGCTCTCAGTGCCTGGCACCGGTACCGGGGTGTCGAGCGCGGCGATGGGCACACGGGTCCCGGTACTCCTCTCAGTGCCTGGCACCAGTACCAGGGCACCAAGCACACTGATGGGCACATGGGTGCCGGTACCACTCTCAGTGCCTGGCATCGGTACCGGGGTGTTGAGCACAGTTATGGGCACATGGGTGCCGGTACCGCTTTCAGTGCCTGGCATCAGTACCAGGGTGTTGAGCGCGGTGATGGGCACATGGGTCCCTATCTGGTGCCATGCTTGGCGCCTGGCACCGGTACCGGGGTGTCGAGTGCGGTGATGGGCACGCGGGTCCCGGTACCGCTCTCCGTGCCTGGCACCAACACCGGGGTGTCGAGTGCGGTGATGGACACACGGGTCCCTATCTGGTGCCATGCTCGGCGCCTGGCACCGGTACCGGGGTGTTGAGCACGGTGATGGGCACATGGGTGCCAGTACTGTGCTCAGCACCTGGCACCGGCACTGGGGGGTTGAGCACGGCCATGGGCACGTGGGTCTCAGTACCTCTCTCAGTGCCTGGCACTGGCACCAGGGCACCGAGCACGGTGATGGGCACGCAGGTCCTGGTACCGCGCTCAGTGCCCGGCACCGGTACCGGGGTGTCGAGCGCAGTGATGGGCACACGGGTCCCGGTACTGCTCTCAGTGCCCAGCACCGGTACCAGGGTGTCAAGCGCGGCGATGGGCACGCGGGTCCCCACGCGGTGCCATGCTCAGTGCCCAGCACCAGGGCACCAAGCACGGTGATGGGTACACAGGTCCTGGTACCGCTCTCAGTGCGCAGCACCAACACCGGGGTGTCGAGCGCGGTGATGGGCACGCGGGTCCTGGTACCACACTTAGTGCCTGGCACCGGTACCAGGGCACTGAGTGCAACGATGGGCACACGGGTCCTGGTACCACACTTAGTGCCTTGTACCAGCACCGCGGCACCGAGCATGGTGCCGGGCACACGGGTCCTGGTGCCGCACTCAGCGCCTGGCACCGGTGCCGGGGTGTCGAGCGCGGTGACGGGCACGCGGCTCCCGGTAGCACCCTCAGTGCCCGTCCCCGTCCCCGCAGGTGTTCTGGCCCGGCGTGGCGCGGCCCGTGTTCTTCGTGGCGAGCCGCGGGCACCACGCCGACATCGGCGGCATCACGCCGGGCTCCATGCCGCCGCACTCCACCACGCTGGAGGAGGAGGGCGCCGTGTTCGTGTCCTTCAAGCTGGTGAAGGGCGGCGTCTTCCAGGAGGAGGGTAGGACAGACGGGCACGGGACGGGCACGGGACGGGCACGGGACGGGCACGGGGACGGGGACAGGGACAGGGATGGGGACAGGGAAGGGGATGGGGATGGAGAC